TCAGCAATGATCCCCTGTTCAATGTTATGATTGAGCTTCTTCATGTAGGATTTAAAGTTGTGGCGTAAGGTAGTCGATATTATGGTAGTAGGAGTGTGTGGGTAGCTGAAGTGGAGAAGAAAGAGCAAAACGAGGTTCAAAAGTGCATGGGGGTAATAATGAGTAAATGACGTCATAATTTTTAATTTGAGATATATATGGCTCGCTGTATTAGACACACCTGGTAGTCATTCCACGCGATGCTGAATGGACCATGATATTACTGGCGAACATGCACAGCACTAGTGGTCTTGGACATCGAGGCATAAAATTTTATCGGCACTTATACCAAAACATTTACTCATTATTTTCGGTAGTGTACGAGCATTGCTATTCTCCATCAAGATGACGTCCACAGTGGCCGAGTACGTTGCGCGCGTGCGCAAGTACATGGCCATCCTTTGCACCCACGACATGCACAAGGAAGCTCGCTCGGTGCTCGAGGATGCCGTCAAGGCTGCCTTTCTCGAGGGAGCTCCCTTGGAACTCAAGCAGACATTAATGTCTCTACAGATCACCAACCGGAACGCCCTCACCATCCATGACCTCTGCCACGCAGCGGAGCAATTTGATACGGTATTCCACTATGCCCGTTCGACGTCCACCTCTGTCCGCCCCACCCAAGCTGCCCAACACGCCCTCGCTGCGACCCCTGCCTCCCCTGCTGTCGATCCCATGGCTATGGAGATTGATAACATGCGCCTCGAGATCAACGCGCTCCGCAAAACCGTGAACAAGTTCCGTTCCGGCTCTTACACCCGGAACAAGCCCCCTCTCGACGCCGCTGAGCGTACACGTTGCATCCGTGAAAATAGATGTTTCCGCTGCCGCGAGGTGGGACACATTGCACCCAACTGTCCCGAGAACGAGCGCGGCGGTCGCGCTTTCAACAATTTTACCGAGGGCCCATCCCATGCTGACGGCTCGGGAAAAGCCTCCAGCGGCCAGGTTTAGTCCAGGACCTAGTCGCTGAAATTCCCTCCTCTTGTCTGGACAAGAGGAGTGAGCCCCTTCCAGAGTTAAGTCAATATTCTTCAAAAAATAAATTTGGTCTTCAATCTCTGTTGGCACTCGCTCCTCTGCATAAAAATGAAAATATCTCAACCCCGGATACTCACCCCGCCCCTGGCGCTATGGCTCCTGTCTCGGATCTACCCCAACCTCATTCTTCTGTGGTGTCTAGGTCGACTGAGACAGTGGACCTGGACCCACTTGCCTCTCTCGCTCCTTTAGCACCACCTCTCTCCAAGCGCCAGGCTCAACTTCAGCGTAAGCGTGCAATTAAGCTGCAGTCGTTCACCACGGCTGTTGCTGAACGCACTTTGCTCACATTTATTGGTTCTGTCAGTGGACACCCTGCACGTATTCTTATTGATGGTGGAGCTGAGGGAAATGTCATCAGCAAGACCTTCCAGCGCCATCACTCTATCCCACTCGTCCCCTGTTCCCCCATCCCAATTATCCTTCCCGACGGTTCCTCTTCTCTCACTCAACACACTGCCTCCATCTCCCTCGCCCGCGACAACTACGCAGACACCCTTCAACCACTCCTCTATGACCTCCAATCCTACGACCTCATCCTCGGCAAACCCTGGCTCACTCAGATCAGTCCTTCTATCAACTGGCGCGACAACAGTCTTCACTTTCACCACAAAGGCGTCTCCGTTCGATAGTCCTGCAAAGGGTTTGCACCCTCTTCTGTAACCGCTAAGTCTCGTGGCTTACTGTTGAGCCATATGCATTTTAATTCACTCGCTGCTCAGCCTGGCAACGAAGTCTTCCTCGCTCTCGTTAAACAGGAAACAGCAACCAAGGCAGCACCTCGCCTTCCACCTGACATCCGCCCCATTGTAGAGAACGAATTCCCCGACGTCTTTCCCGATGGCCTCCCAGCTGGTCTTCCACCAGACCGTGGAGATGCCATGAAAATTGACACTGACCCCACGGCTGATCCACCTGTTCGACCTGTTATTCGTCTTTCAATTGCTGAGCTGGACGAACTCAGGAAGCAGCTGGATGATCTGCTCGCCAAAGGATTCATCAAACCCAGCACATCGCCATACGGAGCGCCAGTCCTCTTTGTTAAAAAGAAAGATGGTACACTTCGCATGTGTGTAGACTATCGTGGACTCAATCGCATCACCAGAAAGAACCGACACCCCCTCCCCAGAATTGACGAACTCATCGACCGGTTCCGCGGCGCTCGCTACTTCACCAAACTCGACCTAGTATCTAGATACCATCAGCAACGCATCTTCGAACCACACACTCACAAGACCACGTTCCGTTGTCGATATGGCCACTTCGAGTTCAATGTCGTTCCTTTTGGTTTAACTAATGCACCTGCTGCTTTTTCGAACATGATGTTCAATGTCCTTGATCCCGTATTGGACAAATGGGTTGTTGTCTACCTCGACGACATTCTTATTTATTCCAAAACCAAAGCTGAGCACCTGTCCCACATCCGAAGCGTCCTTTCGCTACTCCGCAAGAATGGTCTTTACGCGAAGCTGAGCAAATGCTCCTTCATGCAAGAGAGACCGAGTTCCTCGGCCACGTCGTCTCCAAAGACGGCATCCACACGTCCGCCGGTCATGTTAGAGCCATCCGCGAGTGGCCGCGCCCCACCAAGCAGAGAGATGTCCAGCAGTTTATTGGCCTCGCTCAGTTTTACCATCAGTACATCCGTAATTTTGCTGACATCGCTCTACCTTTGACCGCACTGCTAGGTGAAGGCGTTGAATTTTCTTGGGACCAGGACAAGGAGCACGCCTTCACCGCCCTCAAGGAAGCAATCAGCAAGGCTCCAGTCCTCAGGATTTTCGACCCCGATCTGCCAACGACTGTAGAGACAGATGCTTCAGGATTCGCGCTCGGCGCAGTTCTATTTCAGACGGATGAGCACGGCGAGTCTCGACCAGTAGCATTCACATCGCGGAAGTTCAACTCAGCCGAACGGAATTACCCAACCCACGAGCAGGAGTTGCTCGCTGTAGTTCATGCCCTCAAGCAATGGCGCTATTACCTAGATGGCACGCATTTTATTGTGTACACAGATCATGCGACGCTCAGACATTTTCCAACCCAACCAAAGCTCACCCGACGACAGGCGCGCTGGATGGAGCTCCTGCAAGAATACAGTTTCGATTTCAAGTACAAGCGTGGCGCGGACAACGTCGTCGCGGACGCTCTCTCACGTCGGCCTGACCACCAAGAAGAATCACCACCAGTTGAAGTCAACAATTTGGACATCCGCATTGACCCAGGCTTAAGGCAGCGCCTAGTGGATAGCTACCTCGATGACCCTAGTCTCGGTCCTATCTACAAAAGCTGCCTCGAGGGAAGTCCACGCCCACGTTATTCTTTAATTGATAAATTGCTCTACGTTTCTCGTCGTGGCAACACTCTTGTTTGCATCCCTCAGAAGTCTGACATTCGTTTGCTTCTTCTACACGACGCCCACGATTCTGCTATTGCCGGCCATCTCGGTTTTGACAAGACGTACCATGCCCTTCGACGCATTGTATACTGGCCCAAGATTACCCACGACACTCGACTCTATGTGCAGACATGCGAGAGCTGCCAGCGCAGCAAGCCAAGCCAGCAACGACCTGCAGGATTACTTCAGTCTCTGGAAATACCAGCACAGCGCTGGGAGACAGTGACCATGGACTTCATTGTGCAATTACCCAAGACACCTCGTGGTCATGACTCCATCACCGTTTTTGTGGACAAGCTATCAAAGCAAGTCCATTTCGCCCCCAGCAGCACAAAGGATACAGCATCAGACGTGGCACGCCAATTTTTTCATAACGTCTTCAGACTCCATGGCATGCCCACCACCATCGTCTCCGACCGCGACTCCAAGTTCACAAGCCGCTTCTGGAAAGAGTTGCACCGCCTCATGGATGTCAAGCTAGCGATGTCAACTGCCTTCCACCCTCAGACCGATGGACAAACGGAACGTGCCAATCGAACTTTGGAATCTATTTTGCGCGCGTTCGTGGATCAACGACAAACAAATTGGGATTTACTTCTATCAGCCGCAGAGTTCGCATATAATAATTCGATTAATGCCACCACTGGTCACTCACCATTTTTTTTGAACAACGGATTCCATCCTCGAGTCCCGGCCTCACTTCTCCATACCCAAAGCAGCCCCAACCCCAGTGTTACCGAGTTCATGGAGTCACAGAGTTCCGCATTGATTGTTGCACAGGAGGCAATTGCTGCAGCACAGGAACGCCAGGCACGGAACGCAGATACCCGTCGACGAGATCACGATTTTAAAATTGGAGACAAAGTGCTACTCAACGCAGAAGACATCACTGTTGCAGCGGATCGCAATCGCCCGACCAAAAAGCTGCAAGATCGATTTATTGGCCCCTATACAATCCTGGAGCAGCACTCACCAGTTTCTTTTCGCGTTGAGCTGCCACCCACTATGAAGATCCACGATGTCTTCCACGTCGATCGCTTCCGTGAATACAAACCATCACCTGAAGGCCTTGGACAACGTGCACCGGCTCGACCACCACCAGAGATTATTGACGGAGAGGAGGAATACGAAGCAGAGACTATCTAGGACCACAGTCAGCGAAACAATAGGGCGGAATACTTAATCCAATGGGATGGATACCCCAGGGAGGATTCTAACCTTACACACTGCACTCGACTCTTACGACAATACAAGCGCAGCCATGAAGTGTGATTTTTTAAAATAGGAAGGTGCAACAGGATTACCACTCGGTTACCAAGCTGCACGGTTACGACACACAGAGCCAAGATGGGGGCCCGGCACCATGACAACACCGCTATGACACTGTACAATAGACCCCAGATATGTATATATAGACCCTACTTACGATCATTAAACAGCATTCATTTCTACGCATTCCTACTTGACCACTGCCCTTGACCCCTTGACTCTGCTGCTGTTGCAAAAGTGCTCTGTCGAGCTCATGGAACAGAACAACAAGGATGGCGCCAGGCTAAGGGATGCAGCGATGTTGGAAGGTCCAAGGCGACGAGATGCGGATTCTGAGTCTGACAGTACCACTGCTTCTGAAACTTACATAACTCACCGTCGGAAACGCAAGGCTCTTGAACACAGACAACTGATGGAGCAGTTCATACAACAGACACAGACACAGATCATCGAGTCATCCCGAAGACAAGAAGAGCGTCACAACAACCTGATGATGGCTCTGAATAACAGGAGCACTCAAATGCAACAGATGTTGACAATTCAGTTACAGGAAGGCGAAATACAAAGACATGAAAGAGAGCGCGCAGCAGAGGAAAGAGCGCGTGCAGCGGAAGAAAGAGCACGACTACATACAGTCAGCAACAGACAAGCAGCAGCGTCAGAGGCATTGTTAGCTACCACCAACAAACAGACAGCAGCAACAGAGGTAACTTCATCCTCTTCTAAGTGAGCAAAATTAGCAATAACCCCATCTTTTATTCGTCCTGCGCATCGAAGAGGTCTGCTCGCAGATATTCATGGATTGTTGGAGGGTTCACGTCAAATTTGTCTGCCGTCTGCGAACCGTAGTAACAAGTGTGAATGTTCGCGAAGATAACCCCACACTGATAGTAAAGACCAACAGGCGAAAGAAATCGAGGAAAGCGAACTCCCTTACAACCTTTCCAAAGCCCCACTCCACCGCAACTCAAAAGGATGACATAGAAGCATTGAAATTCCGCTGTTGTGGATTAAGGTGTTGGGTAAGGGTGTAGGCAGGATCGTCATATATAGCCAAAGGCCGTCGATCAGCTGCCCATGCATGTTGTTCAAGAACGTCATATAGTCCTGATTCACGAAGAACTGTCAGGTCGTGTGTCCTTCCAGGAATAGGACCTCGAATGTCAATGATGATACCATCGGGTGACAGAACACCTTGATACTTGAAGCCATGTTTGCGGTAATGCTCATTGTAGAGTGATCGTTGACCTTCAGTAGGATGTGTGGCACAGGCCGCATTGTCCCATCGATAAAGCCAAAACAGTTCCTCATGGGAGCCCCTGCCCTTCGTATTTTCCTGGCAAAGGCTTCGAGCGTTTCAGGAGTCAGCCGAACTGGATCGAAGGTAAGTAGTCCTCTCCAATGACGGGTAATGAACCTGACGACATGGTTAAAGAGTCTAGGCTCATGTTGAAAAGGCGACCAGGGTATGCAAGCCGAGCAAGTGTGGTCGCAAGTGCCTCATCTCTCAAAGCTGTATCTCGTTCATTTGTCCTGATTACTGCGGGAAGCTGAAGGAGCTCCGCCATTTCCCTGATCTGTGGTACTGTAAACCGGAAGAGTGTACGGCTGTCGGTTTCTTGCAAGAGGTCAAGATCAAGTCGATTAAGACGTCTAGGAAGCTGTATAAAGGGTCGGACGAATTCATTATTTTCGATGTTGTCTATGTGACGGATAGCACCATAGCGTGTGGTGCAGTGACAGTTGAGCTGCGCGCACAATTGCTCATATTGATTTGTGACTGCTTCTACGCGCTCACGCGCTTGCACGCGTACCTCTGCCACCGTATGCTCGATCAACATATGTTCAACGAAGTATCTTTATTGATATTGCCATTGTCCAGCCCGCCTAGAACCATTGTACCTGATCCATACCTTTGTGCTATTCCTAGCAAATATACCTCGCGTCCCGTAGTAGCCATCCGAGTACCCTGACCAAGAATCCTAGAAACACATAAATAGAGCCATAGAATCCATAGCATATAACCTCAGTCTGCAATACATTTCTTCCTTACCTTGTCCACTGTCTGTCTCCTCCATAACACATATCCCACTCTTCCAAGTCTGTTCCTGACAGTCTACTCCCTGGGCAGGATCGTCCTCGCCGATATGGTCCAAATAGAACCTAATAGCGTTGACAACGACGGCTGCGATCTCCTCGGTGTTGTCCTTAGTGGTGTGTGTGCCTTATCAATGGAAAGCAATTGAAAATGTAAGCTTCAGGTATAGAGGGTGACTGTTTTCAAAGCTATGTAGCAAATACGATATGTAAATCTTGTTGATGCATAAACAATTGCGAAAACTCTCTAATAACCCTAACAACCCTAACTCTAAACCCTAACACCTCGTTTCCTCATCTTCTGTCTCATCTGCACTTGCATCTTGCTCATCTGGACTTGACCGTCCGAATCTGACCGATCATTTGATCTCGTGGCGTCACCATCTACTTTTTTCTCGGATCTTGGTTATAATTCCATTCGATCCGCAGGTACGGTTCTTTTTCTCTCAAAGGAGGACCCCCGTCACCCCCTCATGTCTGCACAGTCCACCCCAACCTTGCCTGGTGCTCCTGGCTCGGCGGACCGTGCGGACTATCTGATCAAGCATTACGCCCATCTGTAGCCTGAGGCTTGTTCCAACTCAAAGTGTCCCAACCAGTTTCCACAGGAATCAAGTAAAGTCTGGAACTCGAACCTATCGCTGTGTTTGTGCGAGAACCAGTGTGAGTCTCAAAAACGTTCTCTCCAAGCTCAACCCCATTGTTGTTGCCCGCCTTACCAAAGGTTGTGCTGCCTTTCCCGGTTCTGTCCTCACCCAACCAACCCAGATTCAACTCTCTGCCTCCGCTCGTACGGCTGACCGAAACTTGACCGTGTCGGATCTGGATCCTATTACCGAGAGCGATGGTTCTCTCATTTATGAGGATCCCTCTGATCATTACCAGTCCTCAGTCTTGCTTTCCGCTACTCCCGTGCCACCCTCTCAGGTCAGCTCTCTCTTTGTAGGGCCTTCCCCCAACTACGATCAGTACACTTCTCCTGCTCCTGGACCTACTCCGTCTTTTGGATCAACTCCCAATCTCCCTTCAAACTATTTTTCCGCCTCCTCTCCCAAGTTCCCTCTCACCAAGTCTGGCTACACCCAGGGTACTCCTGCTTCCCAGAATTCACACCCGTCTACCACTGGTGCTGTTCACCGCACTCCCCTGCCTACATCTTCGCGAGCATTTGCTCCCATATCTTCCACTCCTGCCTCTACTTAAAGAGAGTCGGCCTCGGCGAGTAGGAAACGCGCAAACCTCAGCAATACTATCTGGGGTAAGCAGCCTCCCGAAGCGTCTGAGTCCGAGCAGGAAATCGAATCCCATGCTCCAAGGCGTGTTGCCCTGGGCAAGTTTCGCAAGGGCCAGTCCTCGTCCCAAGATCTCGTGGAGATGCATAACGAGTATAACCTTCTCCAGCAGCATTTCCGCAAGCAAGCCGCCACTGTCAAGGCCCTCGAGGCTGAGAAGTCAACTACAACGCAGACATAAGAATCACGCCAAGCCAGAGGTCATACCATCATTTCCTACAAAAAGAACAATCAAATCAACAATGAGATCTGTCATGACAACAGCATTACTTGCCATAGAAGAATTATAATATATAAAAGAGCACTCTCAACAGAGTTCATAGCATGAATGACTTACTGTACATTCTTTTCTGCGAAATAGTCCACATTTCATAGGAAAAGTGGACTATTCTCACTGAATTGAAAATATAAAGGGTGTTATTCAGTCGAGATTTTATTTCTGCTTGGATTTACGGATCGCCAATCGTGCTGCTTTTCGAGGAAAAGTGATAGAGGGAAAAAGTGTGAGGATATAAGGTGGAGTCACCGCCGTCACAAAACTGAATAACACCCCTTATATTTTCAATTCAGTGGGAATAGTCCACTTTTCCTATGAAATGTGGACTATTTCGCAAAAAGGAGTGTAGGCAATTTAATAAAAACAGGTCTTATTACATCCTTCATATTTTGTGGTGCCACTGGAAGTCATATACAAAACTGTATATGGTTTGCGATAAAATATATTTTGTATATCGTTTGCGATAAAATATATTTTATATATTATTTGCGATGCTGAGATCTTCTTCACGTGACCATACCCACGCTCTTTCCATTTCCAGTGGTAAAGCTTCCTCTCCGTAGCGGAAGATCCCAGGTTCAACACCTTGGGAGAGCAAGTTTTTCCATCGCGCTTAAGTAGGGGGGGCCCTGGCGCTGTCCCTGACCAAAGAAAAAATTAAAACCTCCATTCACTCCTTTGTCAATGTCATTACATTTTATAACCCTTCTAAACCACCCATTCATTAACGATGACTCTTCAAAAGCGACAGCACTCGGTCGACCCAAACAATTCAATCAACAGCAAACAAGCCAAACGTCAAAAAAAGGAATGCAGTATCAAAGACAACAATACAACCATTTCAATAGCTGCGGAACAAACATGGAGATCAATACTGGAGATGAGAAAGAAGCCAACTTTAGAACAACGAGACAATTCCTTTAAACGTTTCCTGAACAAAACACACGGATGTGTCCCAAACTTACCACAAATCCTCGAATACAATCTTAGACCAGTGTATATCGACATCGACATGCCAAATTCGTATCCCTACATTAAAAAAATAATCAACCTCACTCAACTTTGCATCTCAGAGTACGGATTTAAACATCAGTGCGCTGACCATAGCACCTATTCATCCAACAAGTTTGCAACAGGTACAACTGTTTATTCGAGAATGATGTCATGGTCATAACCATGCTGCGCCTAGTTTCTAGAGCATTCCAACACAACTGTGTCTAGTATATAAGAGCCCTTCAAACGTAGGATTAGACAGTAATCAATCATCGAATAAACCTCTGATTCCACCCTAGAACCCCTCCGACTCCTGACTATTTGCATGGTAGCAAAGGAAACCTCGAACCACCCCTCGAAACCACTGAACCATTGAACCATTGAACCGTAAGCTTTTTCATCCAGCCTGTCAAACCATGGAACAACTCTCTCGAACACTCTCCACCCTGAACATCTCAGAAGAAGCCCAACAAGCTGTTGCCAACGATACAGCCCGTACACTTGCCACGGTCCTTAAACCTCAAAAACCGAGTCCATACGATGGTGCTATCGACGCTGTCGCGTCCCTTAACTTCATCGAGAGTCAGGAAGATTATTTCGCTATTGTCGAGCTTATCCCAACCAAATGGGTCCGATACGCCGTCCTGAGCCTCGCGGGAGCCGCCAAAGCTTGGTGGCGTTCTTCTGGCCTCACTATCGAGACCTCTTGGAATGACTTTCGCAAGGCCTTCCTGGAAGCCTTCACGCCGCTGGACTCCGCTAATGCCCCGCCGAGAACTGACCAGGCTTCGCCAGAAAACCCTTACCGTGGCAGAGTATACGAGCCGCTTCAAGCGTCACTTGCGGCTCATCCCGAACATGGATGCGGGTACAGCGCTGTACAATTACATGAACGGGCTGGAATCCGAAGCCAGCAAGGAGGTGCGGCTTCGACAACCCACGACGTTGGATGCCGCTATCCAGCAAGCTACCATCGTCCACAGTATCTTACACCCCACCAACCCAAACAATGCCACTACGACCTCTGTCCCAACCGTCTCCTCAACCGCCGAGCCCATGGACGTGGATGCAATGAATGTCCTCCTTGCCAACCTTGCCTCTCTAGCCAAAACGACCACCGTCGCCAGCATCCGCCAATTGTCAGGAACAGACTTGGAAGAGTGGGATATGTGTTATGGAGGAGACAGACAGTGGACAAGGTCAGGAAGAAATGTATTGCAGACTGAGGTTATATGCTATGGATTCTATGGCTCTATTTATGTGTTTCTAGGATTCTTGGTCAGGGTACTCGGATGGCTACTACGGGACGCGAGGTATTTTTGCTAGGAATAGCACAAAGGTATGGATCAGGTGCAATGGTTCTAGACGGGCCGGACAATGGTTCTAGGCGGGCCGGATAATGGCAATATCAATAAAGACACTTCGTTGAACATACGTTGATCGAGCATACGGTGGCAGAGGTACGCGTGCAAGCGCGTGAGCGCGTAGAAGCAGTCACAAATCAATATGAGCAATTGTGTGCGCAGCTCAACTGTCACTCTGCACCACACGCTATGGTGCTATCCGTGACAATCCCCTCTCTTAGGAGCGACTTCCAGGAGCGACAGGAACTGGACCGGGCTTTGCTGGATACTGGCGATGGAACTCAGCAATGAGCTCTGGGCAGTGTGAGACATTTGCAGCGGGTTCCCAAGATCTCTCATCTGGAGGAAAGTCTTTCCAATCGACCAGGTACTGTAACTTGCGGTTGCGCATTCGTGAATCCAAGATGACTTCGACCTCATACTCGATCTGACCTTCGACTTCGACAGGTGGGGCAGGCGGTGCGCTACGGTTCGGAATCTCATTATCCTGATGAGGCTCTAGGAGAGACACATGGAACACAGGATGTATTCGTGCCATGGAGGCGGGGAGCCGGAGTCGGAAAGCACGAGTCCCTACGCGTTCGAGGATCTCGTATGGCCCCAGCTTGCGGTAGTCAAGCTTGTCGGAAGGGCGCGTGGTCTTGATGTGTCGCCTCAAGAGCCAGACTTTATCACCAGGTGCAAAGTCGGGGGGCGCTTGGACATGCTGATTGAAGTAGCGAGCCTGGGCTTCTTGCGCAGCGCCGATATGGAACTTCAAGTCATCCTGCAGTCCCTTCAACAGCATGATTCGGGCAGAGGCGGCAGGTGAGTGGCGGGACACGCGTGGGATGTGGATGCTGAACCGAGGGTGGTATCCATACAAGGCCATGAACGGGGTCTGGTTCGTCGAGGAATGAACGGTATTGTTGTACGTGAACTCGGCTAAGGGCAGGAGTCTGGACCAGTCGTCTTGCTGATAGTTCAAGAAGCAACGAAGGTATTGCTCAAGCGTTGCATTGGTTCGTTCGGTTTGGCCATCAGTCTGTGGATGAAAAGCCGTTGACAAATTCTGTTTGACCTTTAGGGCTTCCATAAGCGAACGAGTAAACTGGGCGGTGAATGTGGTGCCACGGTCGGAGACAATATCGTCGGGAAGACCGTGGGCACGGACGACTGTGTCTAGGAACAGGCTCACTGTGCCGGCAGCATCGACCTCGTCATGCGTAGCAACGAAGTGGGCCATCTTGGTTAACCTGTCCACGAAGACTATGATGGACGTGAATCCATGGGACGCAGGCAACTGCGTGATGAAGTCCATGGAGATTGAGGACCAAGGGCTCTCTGGTATAGGTAAGGACTGAAGGAGGCCATAAGGCTTGTGATGGACAGACTTGTTCCTCTGGCACGTATCGCAGGTACTGACAAAACGTTTCACATATTGGCGAAGGCCTGGCCAGTGATAGGTTCGATTCACGAGTTCGAATGTCTTCAGGAGGCCAAAGTGGCCTGCGGTGGGGTCGTCATGGCAATGGACCAGGATATCTCGGTGAATGTCATCGGCGTCGGGGACATAAATTAGGCCTTTGTAAAACAGGAGGCTATCCTCAATGGCGTAGTCAGGCTGAGACTTTGGGTCCTTGGCAAGATCAGCAAGGAGTCCGCGAGTGATCTCATCATCGGGATATGCGTCTTTGATTCGACAGGAGATCTCATCTTGGGGATCTAGTCGAAGCGCTGCTGTTAACGCCAAGAACGGGACCGTATTGATATCGACAGGCTTCGGGAGCAAGGTCATTTCGTTCGACGTGGCAGGGCCTTCCCCCCCTCAGGGGAGTGTACGCGCGACAAAGCATCGGCAGCACCGTTAAGTACGCCAGGGCGATACACCAACTGAGTTTTGAATTTCGACAGGCGTTCGGCGTACCGGATCTGGCGCTCACTGAGCGGTCTTTTCTCGGAGAAGTGTTCCAGGTTCTTGTGGTCGGTCTGAATAGTGGCAGGAAACGTGGAGTACGCAAAGAAGTGTCGCCAATGCTCAAGGCCTTCGATAGCGGCCAGCAACTCGGTGTCGTGGACGTGATAATTGCGCTCGGGGGCAGTGAGCGAGCGGGAGTAGAAGCCAAGAGGATGCAGCACACCTTTGTCGTCAGGTTGGCTACAGACAGCACCGAGGGCCGTTTTGGAAGCATCAGGTTCAAGGACACAAGGCAGCTCAGGGTTAAAATGCGCCAAAGCCGGCTCCTGCGTGAAGGCCTCACGGAGGGCCGTGAAAGCGCGATGGGCGGCATCATCCCAGGCAAACAGAACGTCCTTCTTGAGCAAACGGGTGATAGGGGCGACGACCTTGGAGAAGTCTTTGACGAATCGGCGATAGAAATTGGCAAAGCCGAAGAAGACCTGTATATCACGGACAGAGGCAGGGGTAGGCCACTCTAGGATGGCCTTAACCTTTGAAGGGTCCATGGCGATGCCGTCGGGCGAAATCACGTAGCCTAAGAACTCGACTTCACGGGCATGGAAGACACATTTTTCGAGTTTGACTTGGAGGTCGGCGGCGCTCAACTTGGCAAGGACCTGTCGTACATGCTGGACATGGTCTTGCTCATCAGCGGAGTAAATCAGGATATCATCCAAGTAGATGACGACGAAATTGTCGAGATGCTCGCGCAGGACATCGTTCAGGAAT